GATTTTACCGTAAATCTGATCGATGTGCCCCTGTCCAGATCAGAAACCTACCTTTTCCAAGTTTGTTGTCCCCGAAACTCAGTTAGGCGTCGGATACCAATGCACCCTAGGATTGTCACACCGGTTCCCAACTTATAAACTGCATTGATCAGTTATCTAAACCAGTCAGACAGGACTAATTCTGATTCCTATAAAGTACCCTGTATATCCATTGCCCTATGCAGTAGCTTTGTCTTTTTCCTTGAAAACTTCCAGTGGCAATTCATTAGGTATGGCTGCTTTGCATCGTTGAAGGTTTAAAGCAGCCTTTTTAACTTCAAGGAGAGTTGAAGGACCGATACCTGTCTTATTCAGCTTCGGACTTGATACCAGGTAAATGAAGTGTGGTCATAGGCCAGTCAGATTGTGTTTCAAAGTGTGCCATCCAACATTTTATCCACTTGTACTGAGCCTCTCGGGGTCACATCTTTTTCAGTGGTGGTCCCACTAACCATCATCTTCACAGCAGCTCGCTTAATAAATCTGAACAATTTTCGAGCATTGTATAATAGTGAGTCGTTCTCTCTCTTTTGCTAAAGCCACACCACTGATGCAGTCATTGCGAAAACTCTTAGTCAACTAATGTCTGGACCTAAATTAACACAGAGAAACCAAAACCCCCAAAAGCGTTCAGAGTGTAGCTCAATGGCGAGAACGCGAAGGCTTCTTTCACTGAGGATCACGGTAGACAATTATATGCATGAGACATTATTGATGATGGAGAAACCTGGTACTACCTCCAGCCTGTAGAAACAGTTCACACACATATATATATATGAAATATCACCTAAACAAAAAACTAGTGCATTTCCCAAACGTTCATGCAAGCACTAAAAGGTCTCGTATTAGTATTTCTCACTGAAAGGTGTCATAGATGAGCAAATCCCCTGAAACCCTTGGACTCCAACGTGCAAAGGTAGGCTAGAACTTACGGTGATGTATTAGACGAGTTTTGCACTTTGATGACGCCAGCCAAGTATGTTCACTTTCTTTATTCTAAATAAATTTTGTTATAAAAATGCTGATGCAAGTCTCTCTTCTTGTCTGACTACCACGACTGACGTCATAGAAGGCTGACTCTTGAACAGACTTGGAGTACGCAGATGGCAGTCTCGTTAGGTGATGTCGATACGATTAGTTTTCTCAACATCTTGAGTGCCATTCTGGGTCTGTTTAGGATGCATTTCCCACCACCTAAACGTGAACTCTTGCTTCAAGACTGACCGGTCTGTGTTGGCGTCTCGTCTAACAACAGAGAATGAAGTGGATAAATAGACTTACTACTTCATTTACTTAGGAAGTCAGATCTGCAATAGGCGGTTAGTGATCGATGAAATCGATTTGAGTCAACTTACGGCATCTATGGTGTTTGGGTGATATACTACTGACTATCAAAGACCTAGAGTACTACGCTGCAGTTCATTCCGTTCTACAATATCACTATGAAACAGTCACTTAGGGTAGAGGACACAAGAAAAAAAGCTTCAGCTGTTTGACTACCGTTGTCTTCGTATCACAAGCCGCATGTCTTGGTGTCACTGCAGTAACATGTAAATTAACTGTAGAGTTTCGGGCAGAAGAAAGACAGTTGATGAGCTCGTGAGTCTTCTTTGATTCAGGTGACTGGGACATGGGTCGCCCATACCTAGTCACCACCTACTCCGTCACATTATTAGCTGAAGCAGATTTAGTCTGGATATAGGCAAGACAGAAATATAGACGTCAATCCATGCAGTCTCTGACTGCTGGTTTACGCCGTCTAGAATAATGCAAAATTCTCGGCCGAGGTTGGTATGACAAGTGAAATCAGTGACCAGAAACTCTAGGCAATATGGCTGAGAATCGACATCTGCGGTGCAGATACAGCAATAACTTATCTTCATTGTAAACGTTATCGAGAATTTTGTAGTGGATTTATCTCTCCTTCACAGAAATAAACCTACTCCCTGAAGGTCACCTGATGAGCTTAGAGTATGCAGACGGTGTTGTCCTTTAAGGTGAAGACAATATCAAAATACACGGTCTTCCGAAATCACTGAGCAGAAATCTGAACATGCTGGCATGCGCTTCGCACCTCTCAGGTATAAGATGATGCTACATGACTGGTCTTTTGCAAGTACTCCCAGTTTGATGATGGGGAGTGAAGTGATGGAATGTATTGACCACTTCACTTACTTGGGAAGTTGCATCAGCCCACCGAACGAGCTGGTTGCTGACGCCATCTCAACTAGGACACAGAAGACCCGCTTAGCACTTGCAAACTTGTCACCTGTGGCGCCGACTGGCGAGATATCTATCTATCAAGGGACTAGCATATCGCGCTGCAGTCTGTTCTGTCCTGTTATATGGCTGGGAGACCTAGCCGTTAAAGGTAGACATGAAGCGATTACAAGGTTTCGACCACAGATGTCTTCGTACCACTGCTTGCGTTTGGTGGAATCACCGTGTGGGAAATATTGAGGTTAGACGAAGAGAAATAAGCAAGACAGCCAAGTCGATTGATGAGGTCGTGAACCTTCGTCGACTTAGATGGCTTGAACATGTACTCTCCATGCTGAACCATCGTCCACTTCGACGTGTCATGCTAGGGGAAGTTGGGTTAGGTTGGAAGAGGGTTCAGGGTGGATAGACTAAGACCTGATACCAGTCGATGAAATCTCTTACTGTTGGCCTGAGTCGTGTCGGGCAATATAGACTGCTGGTTGGGGTCCTAGAAATGAAAGGAATCAGTGGTTCAGGAAACTCAGTTACACGGCTGAAAATCGGTCACAATGGCGCAGATATATTCACTCTTTGACATCTTCCAAAGCTTGAATACTCACACTAACTTTTATTGTCAAATTGTTCATACGCTCGCACATCTTTGTGTACTTTGATTTCACTTTGTTTCTACCCACCTATTCTTTGTGTACTACTGGTGAATTGCGGCAACTTGGACCGATGCACATGCGTGCAAGGTTCTGCGGTGATTTTGTCAGCCAGTTTTCTCCTTGAGTTGCTACGCATTAATGCCAGATCCCATGTTGATAGTGACTGACTGCCTGAGAACCACAAAAGTAATGTGGAATTCAGACCTTAAAAATCAGGCTAGACGAGTACACCATTTGGTGTGATTTGAACCTGCTAGTGACAAGTGAATGCACAAGCCAGTAAATCTGGACCGGGCACGGAAGCGGCTAGATGCAAAATATCAACAGGTCACAGTCCACAGAACCCCAAACTTTTATGAAGCGTCTGCATTTCCTGATTACGAACAGCAAGATATGTATAACGCGATTGCACACTATTTGACATAGTTGAGAATGGATCACAGTGACACATAAAGATGTAATAAACAAGAAGAAATTGAGTGTTGGGCAAAAAAGTTCAACGAATTGCATATTTATGATACGTTTTGGCGCTGATGAAATCAAATCGGACAGATGCCTAGATTGATGAGAATCTGATAAGAGAGCGTACAACGAGTGATTAACGATGCATATATGTCACCCAGATCAAGACCTTAAAATCGTGTCAGTAAGTCAGTACTTGTTCAACTCATTTTCCTTTATATTCGGTGACTAAATATAACTAAACCATCTCTTTTATCCTTTACTATATTATCTTTAAACACGATGTACTGACGTTGTGTGCTAATGCAAATATCTCATCACTCTACATTTCATATCTCTCACCAAGTACCATTTCCATGTTTAGGTTCATTCATCGTTTATTCTACCTGGTCGCCGTTAGGACCACTTGAAGGTTCCTAGTAGATAGTCATGTGAAACACGCCAGTCAACGCAAACTCACAACCAACTTCAACATCGATAACCCTAGTTTTAATACACAAGGACGATGCGAAGAAAACGCAAGGCTAGGAATCACTGAGTGCAAGCCTCTAGTAGTGACTATAAGTTAAATATATGTTATGGATATAGTATTCAACAAGTCAGAAAAACTGTACGTGCAAAGAACCCATCCCACACTTACTTATCTTTTCTTTTTGTTGCTTAAACATCGTCGATGTTGGTTTTTTAAGTACTAACTCTTTAGAACTAAGGTAGCTTAAAGTGACAGTTTGAGTAGCTCTGGGTTATATTCGTTTAAAGTGGGGCTCCTGTTTGCGCGGTATAGAGTGGAACTTAACAGCTCTGGTTAGGAATTGAAAAAAGCTGGGTGGGACGCACATTTGAGGTAATATCTGAGTCTTTTGTTCCTTAGAAATGCGCATTTTGGAACTATTGAAGCACCTGTTTAGTTCTAGCCCTTCACCTCTCTTTGCTATGCTACACGTAACAGTAAGCTTATCTTGATACAATATTCGAATGTCCCTCTCGATCAGGAGACTGGGTTTTGACAAATATCTGACCCAAGAAAAATACGCAATCAGCATACTCATGTGTTGTCTGACAGTCTGAGGAAACTAACAGCTAGTCTAAATAATAGAAGCGCGTGAAGAAAATTTGCGACAGACCAGAAGAGTGGATAGCTCTGACATACTCGATTGAGTCAACTAAACTGCTAACCGATAACTTGATATCTGTTGTACTGCAGTTGGTATAAAGTGTACGGCTGACGAGGGAAACACTAAAATAAAAGTGAACCACTAGGGTAAACGATAACGCATAGGTGAGATATACTCAATATCAAGTTTAAGAAGCACTAAGAAAAGGCTAAGATTACTAGCACAACTTTTCATACAAAATGCGACCGTAAAAATAACGGTAAGTTCGTAACGTCTTATCGACAAAAGTCAGTGATTTTTAAGAAAACTTACGACTTACTCTGAGGAACAAATCGTGTTGCGATGGTTGCATTACTACCCAGAGCGAAATGACGCCGATAACGAGGCTGTCCATGCCAAACATGGATTTGTTTGTGTCCCATAGCTGTTGAGTATCGCCGATTTACAATAAAGCCCTTCCCGCTGAGACCTCCGGCGGCGCTACTATATAAAACATAAGGCACGTTGCCTACGGATCACATAAAAACGAGCTTAATTGCTTACCCAAAACTGTGTCGGTGTCTAGCTTAACGGGTGAGTAGGTATGCGAAAATTTGGCACCTGAGTACCCATTAGTCTGACTGCCATCATCCAAGTCAGAAAGCTCACGATTATCTATCTCAGGCTTGCTCAGGTTAACGTTTCGAATTCTCGCCTTCTTTCGTCTTTGATTTGCGCGTTCGTTAGTGGAATCATTTGATTCATCTGCAGTCACTATACAAGGGTCACACACAGGCACACTTTCTGGGCTGTTGCTGGTGTCATTACCAATAACCTCCTCTCTCACACCCAGCAGATCATTAGGGTCCATTAAAAATAGATCGCCATAAGGATCACGGCCAATAACACCAGGACATCCGTTGTCGAACCCGATTTCAGTAAGTTCTCCTGATAGCCCCTCAGGTACAGAGTCAAACACATCCGATTTTAGCAAACTTTCATCATCTTCAAAATATTCTTGTTTTACTGCAGAGTCATTCAGTAATACCTCAGACATCCTGAAGCCAAATCCTAATGACTTTCATACGGAAAATAGTCTACCTCGAATCCAAGGAGCCCGCAAAGCTGTCGGTCGTTGCCCTTAAACAGTTTTAAACAAAATTGAGTACACAATATTCACCTTATACGACCTATTTGTGCTCCACATAATCTGTGGAGACTGCATACAATTATGTATAAACCACTTCAACCACAAGCGATATTTCCTTTTCATTGTTTTCTTTACACATTTTGTACATTATTCCTAATACTTGTAAAAACGAATGTTGTTTATATGTACACTTTTTTGGTTGTGGCGGAAATTGCATCTTTTGCTGCTGCTAATCGTGGAAATATGATGTGCTTCTAACCATTCCGACTCCTGCCTCCGTGACTATTGCCTGTCGTGCATAATAACTGATTGCCTTGGGAATTTACAGGACTTCTCATCCTACTTCCAAATATTATGACAATCAAGCCGACCGACGACCACAGCGGAGAGAGGACAAATATCGCCTTCTGATCTCTGGAGTATCCTAAAACTGTGGTGGACGATTCCGAAGAAATAACCTCCAAGTAACCCGTGATTATTTTTAACATTGACAATGCTATTTCGTTCCATAACGTATAACTTTTCACTCACGTATATCATAAAATCCATTTTTCTTGCAAATTATGCGTAGTTTGTCATTTTGGTTTACTTGACACTCTTTTGGTCCACCGTATAATATTGGTGAGCCCGATTTAGCGAACTTCCTTTGCTTCATAGCTATGTTTAATTTTGTTTATTTTTTTGGTAATTTTGTTTATTCCTCGGCTACTAATGAGTTACCTCCCCAAGCCTGCTAAATGGGCAGAGCGGTGGCGACGTGCAGATGAGCTCATTACACGCCATACCGGACATACGACTTCCCCGTATGGTTTTAACAACCCCCGTACGTGGTTTGCTCAGATTGCGGCTCTTTTCACGACACGCAACATACGCTCCCAAGCATCTAAATATGTTTATGTAGTAGGAGCCTTACCCACTGAGGTCGCCACCGAAGTCGGAGACTTGATCGATAATGTTCCTGAAGAGGCACACTGACAAACTGAAGCCAGCAGTTATCCAGCGGACATCTACGTCCGACGAGAAACGGCTGCAGCACTTACTTACTTCATGTGAACTGGGGGATAGAAAGCCTTCACAACTGCTTCGGTACATGAAACAGCTCGCCGGCTCGCATCAATTTGACGGGCATGTTCTCAAGCAGCTATGGCTTCAGCGGCTTCCATTCAATGTGCGGCAGATACTCAGTATCTCGGCAACAACTACCGAACTAGATAGCTTAGCTAACATGGCTGACAAAATAGCGGAAGTCTACCCAGATAACCTTTCTGATAGCCTCTTGATGACAGCAACAACCAACAGCCTCCAGTTTAACCTGCCATCAACCCCTACCCACTCTTCTAGTATTCAGTCACAGTTAGCTGACTTAACGTCCAAGTTTGGAGCGTCGTCAGCTAAGGTGTCGAATACTGAAATCCGTCGTCCGCGGTCCCTACCTCGTAAACGATCAACCGACGGGCATCGACCTCGCTCACCTAAAGCCGCACAAGATATCTGCTGGTACCACAGAAAGTTTGGCCACAAAGCCAACCGGTGTACTAGACCCTGCACTTTTGATAAAAGATCATCGTCAGACCAGGGAAACGGGTCAGCCAGACAGTGAGGGCGACAGCTGTTACTGGCAACCATTCCAGTCGCCTCTCCTACGTAACGGATAAAACTTCAGGCTCCCGGTTTTTAGTTGACACAGGTGCCGAAGTTAGTGTTATTCCGCTCTAACTTTCACGGCGACCATCAACAACCCCTAGCAAGTTGTCTCTTCAAGCTGCGAACAAAACTTGCTTATCAACGTTTGGTGAGCAGTCACTGATATTAGATCTTGGTCTACGCCGCCGATTCACCTGGATTTCCATCATCGCCGATGTACTTCATCCAATATTAGGGGCCGACTTCTTAAGTGCTTTCAATCTGCTAGTTGATGTCAACAAGAAGAAGCTGATTGATGCATGCACAAAGCTAAACGTCCAAGGCATCGTGTCAGATTATTCTATCCATAGCGTCTGCATTGCAAAACCTGAGGATGACAGATATGCACATCTGCTCCAGAACTTCCCCAGCATAGTAAAACCCAACTATCACATCCGGGAAGTACGCCACACAACAGTGCATAAGATTGTCACCAAAGGCCAACCCGTCCGTGCACGACCCCGATGCCTACCACCTGACAAGTTAGCCGCCGCCAAAGCTGAATTCGAACATATGATGCAGCTGGGCATAATACGGCCGTCCAACAGCGCTTGGGCTTCGCCACTGCACATGGTGGCAAAGAAGGATCATGACTGGCGTCCGTGTGGTGATTATCGTGCCTTGAACAACGCGACCGTTCCTGATCGCTACCCCATCCCCCACCTACACGATTTTTCCCTTACCTTGCATGGGAAGACCATATTCTCAAAAGTGGACTTAGTTCACGCATACCATCAAATACCTGTCGCACCGGAAGACATCGCAAAAACGGCGATGATAACTCCTTTCGGACTGTTTGAGTTTCTCCGAATGCCATTTGGACTCAAAAACGCGGCGCAATCGTTCCAACGATTCATGGATCAGGTTACGCAAGGTCTCGATTTCGTTTTTGTCTGCATCGATGACGTCCTGATCGCAAGTGCTTCCCAGGAAGAACACTTCCAACACCTTACCGTTTTGTCCGAACGTTTTCAGCAATACGGGGTAGTTATCAATCCAAACAAGTGCATCTTTGGGGTGCCTTCGTTAGAGTTTTTGGGACATTACATAAACGCCCAAGGTATAAAACCTCTTAGCGATAAAACTGATGCCCTCTTGCAATACACCGAACCCGATTTGACAAAGAAACTACTACGTTTCCTTGGCATGCTCAACTTCTATCGACGTTTCATCCCACACTGCGCCTCGATTCTCCAGCCTTTGATGAATCTGCTTAAGGGCAGCCAAAAGAATTTCCGTTTCACCAACAAAGCACGTCAAGCTTTCCATAAGGCCAAAAAAGCATTATCACAGGTGGTCATGCTTTGCATTTGAATCCTAACCCAGAGGCACGCTTGATCCTCTGCACAGATGCTTCCCAATCTGCAGTCGGAGCCGTCCTTCATCAAAAGCTTGACGATAAGACACTTCCACCTGCTTTCTTTTCCAAGAAGCTAGAGCCACCCCAAAAAGGATACAGTGCCTTCGGAAGGGAACCCCTATCCGTCTGCCTCGCGGTCAAACACCTTAACCATCTGCTACAAGGGCGTGATTTCACCATCCTCACCTAACACAAACCATTATGCTATGCGTTTCGAACAGCACTGGATAGGCATTCGCCAAGAGAAGCAAGACAACTGGACTATATCTCGCAGTTTTCTACCGATACCTGGTTTGTCATGGGTGATGCTAACGTTGTAGCCAATTCCTTGTCTCGCATTGGCGTGAACCTCCTAACACGGCAACCGGACATCGAGCTCAAAAATATGGTAACATTACGGAAAGCCGACCCAGATCTCCTGGCTAACCAAACGAATTCAGCTCTTACTCTCAAAGATGTTCCAGTACCCTTATCCGATGCTACCATTGTGTAGGACACATCTACTGGTGTGAACCGTCCTTTTGTTCCATTAGCCTGTCGAAAGGCTGTATTTCAGCACTTACACTCTGTCGCATCCAGGTGTGCGCGCCACGGTTCGACTGATTAGTCAACGTTTCGTGTGGCCTAACATGAATGCGGATATCAGAAGATGGGCACGGGAATGCTTGCAGTGTCAGTGTTCAAAAGTGCACCGACATACGATTACTACACCTCAACAATTCCAACTACCTGACCGACGTTTCCAGCATGTTCGTATAGACCCTGTGGGACCTCTTCCAGCATCCAGAGGATTCACCCACATACTAACAGCTGTCGACCGTTTTACCAGATGGACTATCGCTTGCCCTATAGGTGATACTTCAGCTGAGAATATCGCGTCTGTTTTCCTTGACAGCTGGGTTTCAAACTTTGGTGTACCTCCTACACTCACCTCTGACAGAGGTTCACAATTCCAGTCGACTTTATTCCAAGAGTTCACTCGACTCCTCGGAATACATCACATACGAACCACAGCTTATCATACAGCAGCGAATGGTTTGGTGGAGAGATTTCACCGTCAGCTAAAAAGCCTGCTGATGGCACTGCGTGACAGTATTAAATAAAGTGAATTCCCTCCAATCATCCTACCTGGAATCCGATCCACTGTGAAAGAAGACTTAGGACGCACCCAGCCCGGCTACTCTACGGAACGAGCTTGGTCTTACAGGGACAGCTCGTAAACCCACAGGATTTATCAGAAACCAACATCTCTACGTTCGCTGAAAACCTCGCTCAACGTGTTTCATATATACAGCCCACACCACCTCACACTAGCGACCATCGTGAATAACTGGATAGGCAGCTGACGTCCTGCAAGTTTGTTTTCGTTAGGATTGACGGGGTTAGAAAAGATTTGCAGCCTCCATATGAAGGACCCTTCCCAGGGATTAGCCGAGCTGAAAAATACTTAACCGTAAACAAACAGGGTAAGCAAGAGATTGTGACCCTCGATCGACTCAAGCCAGCTTTTGTAGCTGATGACGCCGAAGTGAAACAACCACCACTTCAGGGTAACTTTCATCCACTTATATATATCTTTTGGTTTGGCCCTGAGTGCACATTTTCTTTTTCTCCCTCTACCAGACAGTTCCTCCACATTTTTAAGGGGGGGAACTGTGTGGAGACTGCATACAATTATGTATAAACCACTTCAACCACAAGCGATATTTCCTTTTCATTGTTTTCTTTACACATTTTGTACATTATTCCTAATACTTGTAAAAACGAATGTTGTTTATATGTACACTTTTTTGGTTGTGGCGGAAATTGCATCTTTTGCTGCTGCTAATCGTGGAAATATGATGTGCTTCTAACCATTCCGACTCCTGCCTCCGTGACTATTGCCTGTCGTGCATAATAACTGATTGCCTTGGGAATTTACAGGACTTCTCATCCTACTTCCAAATAT